TTTAAAACTGTTCGAATGTGCTGTACGTAATATTTTTAATACGCTGCGTCGCGCATCGGCGAATGCAAACGTGTTGGCTAATACATGTGTTGTCTTGGTTTGACTTTGGTTTCAATTTGTAATCTTAACAAATAACAAAATAAATTGTAGATAAAAGACTCCTTTATCTACCGGTAAACAAGACTTGTTTATCTACTAAACATAAGGCCAAACGACCTACTTTTAATGGCTGGTACAAAATAAAAGATTTTTTTAAATTTATTAGGAGTTTCCAGAGTTCCGTATTTGCAAATTTTTTTCTCATCAATAAGGAAGTTTGGCACGCATAAGGTTTTCAAGCCCATGAGACTTCTGCTAATTGACGAAATGTTAAAAAAATAACTTAATGTAATTATTTAGAATAAATGCATAATAAAAAACCAAAAGAAATTTTACACACCATTTGAGGTTCCAAAAATATACTCGTAAAATTTATTTATATCAACTTTAATAGAAATTACATACTTATTGACAAAAACATCTAAAAGCTATTTATAACAGTATACTTCATTAAAATTAAAAAAAAAAGTCAAAGTTTAATCATACACAAATTCAAGATTTGTAAACCACAAATACAAGAGTATATCATTTCATACAATTCTGGTAATGTTGACTATGCAGCATAATGAGCAGACGTCATCAAATTGTTGGTGGGGATGGTTAACCAAATTTTGGTTCGCGTTTTACCATTTACATGATATTCGTAATATACAAACAAAATTTGACAACAATCGATCCAGTAGTTTAGGAGATTATCTGTCTAATCAAAATCGATACAGACGGACAGACAGAAACGGTAGACTATTTTTTTTGTACTCTGGGGGGTCATGAAACGTAAAGAAAACATGAAACTGGTAAGCCGCCCGATGGATTCCTTCACTTACGTTCGGAAAGTAAAAAAGCCTAGTAATCATCCACTTCATTCAATTTTAATTTTTCATTATTAGGGAGTTGCCAATGTTGCCTCTTTATAGAAATTTTTTTTACCAATCAAGAAATTTGGCACACACTAAATTATTCAGTTGCATTAAACTTCTACTAACTGACGAAATCTTGCAAACATGATGCTAAATGTATTTATAATAAATACAAAAAAAAAAACAATTTTACACAATATGTATTTGAGATGAGGTTACAAAAATATACGGCTCCAGACTATTTATATTAACTTTATTAGAAAAATAAAAAAAAGTCTTAAAGCACAACCTATACATCAGTGACTCTAATCATATTCCTTTTAATTTTTTGAAAATACATTATATTTTGATATTTTCAGAAGGTTCCCGAACTTGCGCATTTACGCGAACATCTCTTGACAGGAGGGAAGTTTGGCACACAGGAAGATTTCGCTTTTTTCTAATGCTGCGATTCCATTTAAATAAAATAATAATTTTGTTTCAAAGTAGACAAAAAATTAAAAAAAAAATACAAAATGTGTTATAAATAAATGTTTTTACTATAAAAACTACATAAATAACGAAGGTGCCAAATTTCCTGAATTGTAAGAAAAACATTTTTATAAATATGACTCAAAAAAATTAATGAATGCGTGAATTTATTTTATTGATTTAATCAGGAATTACAGAACCGAATGCTTTGAAATCTTGGAGATGTTTTAAAGTTATTATAAGCATGGCAAATTTTTTATCAAAATGTATTTGCTCATCCCCCCTAAAAAAATTGATGACGTCACCCCAAATTTGGTGAATACATTTTATCTAAAATGTACAAAATATAATGAGTCTGTACTTGTGATTTATCATTCCGTTCATATTTTTTGGATTTGCATATACAGGGTGACTCAAAAAAATTAATGAATGCGTGAATTTATTTTATTGATTTAATCAGGAATTACAGAACCGAATGCTTTGAAATCTTGGACATGTTTTAAAGTTATCCTAAGCATGGTAAATTTTTGATCAATTGTTTATCAACCCCAAAAAATTGATTACGTCATGTCAAAATTTTGCCAAATAAATCCTTTCGAAAATATGCAAAATATGATCAGACTATACTTGTAATTTATGGTTGGATTCATATTTTTTAAATTCGCTTATACAGGGTGACTCAAAAAAATTTATGAATTAGTCAATTTATTTTTGATCAAATTAAGAACGAGCCGCGACTTTCAGACTGAAAGCGATTTTATTAAAATGGCCCGTCACAGAACTCTAATGAGAAGAAACTATGACAGACATAGAGACACGGTTCTAAGAGCGAGGGAAGTACTGTCTAAACTTTTTAGACCAATTTTTTGAATTTATGACCCTGATCGTAATCACACATCTTATGGAAATAAAACGTGTATTTATATTAGTTCACTCCAATAAAATTAGAAAGATATTGTTCTAGTAGTTATCCACATTATTCCATTCATTTAGTCTTTTTTTGAAAAAAAAAATGTTATTTATTATCTACAAGAGAAAAGTGATCATTCACTAGTGGACTATTTTTCACGAGTACATAAACATTCTTTATCATCGAGTGTAATATTTTATTTTATTTTCTACCAGATTTTAACTAAAACTTTAAAACTGTTCGAATGTGCTGTACGTAATATTTTTAATACGCTGCGTCGCGCATCGGCGAATGCAAACGTGTTGGCTAATACATGTGTTGTCTTGGTTTGACTTTGGTTTCAATTTGTAATCTTAACAAATAACAAAATAAATTGTAGATAAAAGACTCCTTTATCTACCGGTAAACAAGACTTGTTTATCTACTAAACATAAGGCCAAACGACCTACTTTTAATGGCTGGTACAAAATAAAAGATTTTTTTAAATTTATTAGGAGTTTCCAGAGTTCCGTATTTGCAAATTTTTTTCTCATCAATAAGGAAGTTTGGCACGCATAAGGTTTTCAAGCCCATGAGACTTCTGCTAATTGACGAAATGTTAAAAAAATAACTTAATGTAATTATTTAGAATAAATGCATAATAAAAAACCAAAAGAAATTTTACACACCATTTGAGGTTCCAAAAATATACTCGTAAAATTTATTTATATCAACTTTAATAGAAATTACATACTTATTGACAAAAACATCTAAAAGCTATTTATAACAGTATACTTCATTAAAATTTAAAAAAAAAGTCAAAGTTTAATCATACACAAATTCAAGATTTGTAAACCACAAATACAAGAGTATATCATTTCATACAATTCTGGTAATGTTGACTATGCAGCATAATGAGCAGACGTCATCAAATTGTTGGTGGGGATGGTTAACCAAATTTTGGTTCGCGTTTTACCATTTACATGATATTCGTAATATACAAACAAAATTTGACAACAATCGATCCAGTAGTTTAGGAGATTATCTGTCTAATCAAAATCGATACAGACGGACAGACAGAAACGGTAGACTATTTTTTTTGTACTCTGGGGGGTCATGAAACGTAAAGAAAACATGAAACTGGTAAGCCGCCCGATGGATTCCTTCACTTACGTTCGGAAAGTAAAAAAGCCTAGTAATCATCCACTTCATTCAATTTTAATTTTTCATTATTAGGGAGTTGCCAATGTTGCCTCTTTATAGAAATTTTTTTTACCAATCAAGAAATTTGGCACACACTAAATTATTCAGTTGCATTAAACTTCTACTAACTGACGAAATCTTGCAAACATGATGCTAAATGTATTTATAATAAATACAAAAAAAAAAAAACAATTTTACACAATATGTATTTGAGATGAGGTTACAAAAATATACGGCTCCAGACTATTTATATTAACTTTATTAGAAAAATAAAAAAAAGTCTTAAAGCACAACCTATACATCAGTGACTCTAATCATATTCCTTTTAATTTTTTGAAAATACATTATGTTTTGATATTTTCAGAAGGTTCCCGAACTTGCGCATTTACGCGAACATCTCTTGACAGGAGGGAAGTTTGGCACACAGGAAGATTTCGCTTTTTTCTAATGCTGCGATTCCATCTAAATAAAATAATAATTTTGTTTCAAAGTAGACAAAAAATTAAAAAAAAAATACAAAATGTGTTATAAATAAATGTTTTTACTATAAAAACTACATAAATAACGAAGGTGCCAAATTTCCTGAATTGTAAGAAAAACATTTTTATAAATATGGAAGTTTAACAACACATTTAATGAGTACAATTTACAAAAAATAATGAACAGAAAATGTGTTTGTTATAGATAGTTTCCAACCAAACTTCTACATTTACACAAATTTTAAACTGTTTTTTCATCTAATTTTTTCAAATAGTTTCCACACATTTATTTGTCAGTCCACCAACTGAGAAAACTTAACTAACATTGAAAAACTTCACTGTCTGTTTCTCACAGAGAGGGTTAAAAGCATCTCTCAACTTTTTATTTCTGGTTCAAAGTTTTTGATAAAATCAACTTTGGTTGAGATATTCCCCTGGTGAATTGTCGATTGAATCTGAAGGACAGGAAATTTGTTTTAACCGAAAATGCTGTCTTTACAGCCCATTTTTCTCTTCAAGGGTTTAGAAGTACTAACACAGTTTCAGATGTTGGCAGCACTCCCAGTATAACCTTAGCAAGTAAACATTAAAACATTTGTTTAACAACATCGCGTTTATAAAACTTGCACTGAACTGGTGAGAAAACCAAATCTTTCTTGATAATATCTCAATATCCACTGTCAATTTAGAAAACTCACTTATATTTATTATTGTAGATAAAAATCTATTTATCGTGTTGTTATGATTTCGAGTAAGTTCCATTCCACACTGTTCCCACAAAAATAAAAATTTGACTGACCTCTACAAACTACAATGGCTGTAAACACTTGCAATGATGCATAGTTTTCTACAATTTAGTCAAAACAGTGTTTAACGAAGCTAGCAAAATTACGTGCTGCTATCACTGAGCAAGTGGCCAAACTGTCATTTCAGGTGTGATGTAGCTAAGATCATGATACAAAGACTTTAGGTATGCTACTCCGGTGGACGAGTTTGTGCATTTTCTGAGCACAACCAACTGACGTCACAAGACCTTGATGTAGCAGCTGTCAGTGATGTGTTGATGATGTCAAAAGTCAAAACATTAACCTGTTTGCAGATTTGCAGATACGTTTTGTTATTTTCCACAGATTTTCTTGATTTTTCTTTTATTTTGCCGTTTTAAGTTAGCATAAAATGATCTTTTATTTAATTCGCGAATTCGAATAAACGTTCTTGTGCGAACTAAACAATGGTAAACTTCGTCTGCTAACATATTTTCTGGTAAGTGACGCTTTAACTGTTGTACTAGATATTTAATTATATATGGTTGCTTGTTGATTTGAGTTCCATGGAAGGTCAAGAATAGTGTTTCCAATAATTCCGCCGCATGCAGAAGGTCACTAGAGGGCTGCAGTAAATTTCCCCTGGAGAGAAATTGAATCCAATCTGCTTCAAAAGAGTGTGGTACATTTTCTGCTGGTGTTCCAAGGTGGGGATATTTGTGACGAAAACGATGGGCAACATACCCCGCCACATATCGAAGTCCTTCTGTTGAAATTTTATTGTCTTCTACATCAACTTCGACTTCGACTTGAGAAAAATGATGAGTATCAGTATCAACAAACTGCAATTTGGCCAAGTGGCTATCTTCATTGCTTGGAAGAACACATTTGGTGTTGATTATTGATGAGAAAAGAGATTCCGTTAGACAAATTTCTTTCTCTTCCAAGGGAGTAAGCAATGATTCATCATCATCTTTCTCACAGTTCTTATTTATGGATATGGCAGCTGAGGAGTGTCTACCCAGTATGTACCACCTCAACCGATATTTAAAATCAATGGGGTTGGGATGATCATTACTGCCTCCCATTCCCCGAATCAATGAAAAAAAATTTTCGAGTACATCTTGATTTAAACGTCGGGTTAAAATGTAACTGATATTGTAGAATTTACTCATATACTCAAACAACGCTTGTAATGATTTGTTACTGATGATGACACCTTTTTGAAATGGTAATAATGTTGACTTTCCGATGGCTCGAACATTTTTCATTGTCTCTGTCATCATATTTATTACTAAATTTTGCTTGTCAAGTTCAATGCCATAAGCACTTACTCCTGATGGTGAAAATTTTAGGTAGGTGTTGAAAATGTCGAACCAGTCATTGACAAGTTGAATGAATTTCGATGTTTCTGAGTAGTTCCCATCAATTATTTTGTTATCGCCACACCACTGTATGGCTTTTGCAACGGTATTTGAAAAGAGTTGTGCAGCAGGTTTGACCTTCTGCCTCTGACTGCCTTTAACATCAAGGTGATACTGAGTAATTTTATGTGCAATTTTTAAATCAGATGATTGTGACGTTTTCAATAATGATTCAACATATGTTTTAGTGATGATTTCTCCATTAATTTCAAAACCTTGGTCAAGAAAATGATTTCGCAATAATTTTAGCAGATGTGGAATGTCAGCGAAAACAAAAATTAACTTTTCTGAATCAGATGGATGTGGAAACCAAACATTGTCTATATTTATTTGGAGCTGTTTCCACAGTGCCATATTTCCTGACCCCATATCACTAACAATTGCTACAACGGTATATTGGCATTCATAAAGTTGACTGACAATGTTCAATAATATTTCTTTTTTTATAGGTGTGTCGAAGTTATAATAAATTGGCTGCTTCCATGGCGAAAACAATCCACGACACATAATCACTTGTGCGGCTCTGTGAGGACCCAACGCTTGCTCAAGAGTTTTATCAAGGCAGATCTGATCCCTGATGTACATTTCATCAAATGATAGTATCGTGATGCGTTCAAGCTCTGACAGTGAGCGAGCCTTGTCGTTCATTAAAATCAAAACATCGTTTAAAACCCCTGGGTTTATGGTAAACGAGCAGGCCCATTTGCGTAATGTACTCAGTGCGGGAAGTGGATATTTACATTGTTGTCTCAAATATCTGTACGCTTTGGGGCTAATACTGCGAAGTGAAATTGCAGCCGAAATATCTTCAGTTGTCCACCTCACTCGTTTTTGGCTAATTAAAGCTTTTATTTGAGACTTTGTAAAAATGTTTGACAAAGCCTGTACTACTTTTGTATCAGATGATGTTTTTTCTAATTGTTCATTTAGTTCCATATTTTTCATTTCTGTCAGTTGAGTCTTTGTAAGCAAATCATTATATTTTTGTTCCAATTGCTCATACTTTGCTTGCCAGTCAAACGTTGCTACTTCTTGCAGGGGCTTAACATCATCGCCAAATAAATTCCTTCCACACCGTTTTGGTGATATAATGTGAGAACTCATTGTCTGAATTTTATAGTTTGTTGGCGATGCTGTTTCAACTATGTGTTGTATCTGCGTGCAGCCTTTCGGGCTTGGCGACAACTTACTTTTGTTAAATCCATTTTTTGTCGGGATGGCATTAGGCATTAACCTCCGCCTGCATTTAGGGCTGTACTCCAAAAGCCTGTGTTGTAGAGACTTATAAAAGCACTGAGCAGCAAAATGCAACGAACACATACGAGCTGAAAGGTAAAATATATTATGTTGTAACTGTTTTTTGTTGGTATAGGTTTTGTTTTAATAAATTATAATACATGAACATTTGTCTCACCATTTTTAATATTAATGACATCACTTCTGTTGCAAAATTTTACCCATTCTTCACAAATGGATTTTTCTTTCGGAAACCTAAAGAAGTGAATGTTTTTATTGTCTTTACACTTTATATATGAACTTGAACATCCAAGCACTGCACATTTCGCCATTTTCGATACAAACTCAAAGTTTGAAATTCAAAGCACTGCAAAATACACTTGTTTTTACAAACACGATTTGCCGCCAAAAGAACGAACAGAGCTTCTATGGTTATAATAATATTAATACTAACCTGTCGGTGTAGAACAATGCTTATAACGCTCTTTTTGATGAAAAGTGTTGTAAGTAAATGTAGTGAAACGTACACATTAGGCTAAATAAAATTCTACACATTCAAAAATATGATGTATTCCAATAAAAACAAAACTTTAAACAACATATTATGTATTTAATACTTTTTTAAGGATAACACGTTTATCGTACACTTAAAGTTCTTAATTTACAACTAATAATTACATAGTTTGCTCGTCGACCTTTGCGTTCGCTGAAGTTTAAATTTAGCGGTCATATGTAACCGGGTGACGTCACGCAGATGTGCGCAATAGCATACCTTGTTTTCTTGTATCATGGCTAAGATATAAACCAAGACGGCATGAATTGCGCTGTTGTCACATGAGCACCCTATGCGAAATTGCCTGCTAGATGAATATATATATATATAAATATATATATATATACAAACTTTGCTCGTTTAATAGTATTAGATTATAGTTTTTTTTGCCATTTCTATTGAAACACAACCTGTTGATTCTGGTTAAAATTTAGCAATGTAAACAGCTTTCAGTTGATTGAGAAGGGTTTTTAGTTAGAAAACTGTCATTTTGACATTTTTATTTCCTAAAACGTCAAATCTCTGTCAAAGTATTTAGTTTTATGCTCATGCTAACATAAGAACCAGAAGAACGTAAGATATTATCTTGGGCATGTTGGGATTGAATGGGAAGATTATTGACATCGTGTGGTTGAGGCAAATACGCTAAATAAAATGTCTTCAGACTTGTTATGGGCACCTGTAGCTTTATTTAGGTTGTTTTCCAACCATACGCTGGGGTAGAAGTGGGTGTTTATCTAAGAAACAATTTATTCTGTTTCCTCAGCAAAAGGATCTTCATCAAACTTATTTCAAGAGGAAGCTATCCACTTAGAAAATTCTGTTTTAACCGGAAACTTTCATCTACCATCTGGAATTGCTGCTTCTTCTTTGATGTCAGGGACATTTCAAAATTGTAATTTTTATTTCGGGACACATTAGAACCTTTTTTGACTTTTGTACCTTCTGTTTTAAAGTTGAATAAAATTGTTAAAAAAATTGGAGGGCGTTATGGTTCATAACAGCCTCTCATAATAGCCTGGTTATTATTGAGTTATTAATGTGTCTGGTATCATAGCGATTATAAGGAAATAATAGATGAGTGAAATATAAAAAATTTAAGAATATTAATCGATTCTATTTTTTGCTGGACAGATTCCACAATAGTACCGGCATGGTTAGCAACCTCGCCGTCAATATTGAATACTTTTGTCGCAAATCGAATGAGCGAAATTCACAATTTATACAATGTTGATTCACGACAGCACGTAAATACAAGGAATAATCCAGCGGACATATCGCGAGGAGCTTATCTCAGTGAGCTCCTCAAGTGCGATTTACGATACGATCACGGACCGTATTGGTTAACAGAATCTTCCGAGAATTGGCCAAAACCGCGTCCACAGCCCACCGAAGTACCTGAACTGAAGGGTGTTGCACTGACATCAGGAAACAATTCTAAAATTCCAATTCTAACAAGATATTCTTCCATCTCAAAATTAAAAAGGGTAGTCGCCATGTGTTTATGATTTAGTTACAACTATAGAAATAAGCATGAGAAACGCACAGATTCGTTGTCCCTATTAGAATTGCGGCAATTACTTCAGGTAATTTTACAGCTTATACAAAGGTTAGAATTCTCACCAGAATTAATTCATCAGGTGCTAAAGGACAGGTGCGTCCCAATAGCAAATTAAACTCAGAGATAAAATTAACGCACCACTTAATTATTTTACAAAATTTTAAGACAACGGTCATGAATAAGGTTACTAATTTTTTTACTAATAGCGATGGATCTTCCTTGCTAAACGAGTGATTTTCTGTCAAAAAATCATTTCTTTTAAAATCAGAATTTTCATAATCTCACATTTTGGCAAAACTTGAGAACATTTTTGCTACAAAAAATCGCTGATTAACACAAAATTTCATTTGAAAGGTGTTGAGTGGTTGGTGGTATTAAAAATGAATCGTCGAAGAAATTTATCGGTCGAGGAAGCAGTAAAGGCATCAACTTTATTGGAAGAAGGATATTCCATGCGTTACGTTGCTAATTTGTTAAGAAGAAATCATTCCACTATAAGTCGCATGGTTGAACGCTGTAATCGGACAGGATATTAGAATCGTAGACCGTTTGCTGGTCTAGGGATCCAAGAGATGAGCGCTTTCTGAGGCAATCTGGTCTTAGAAACAGGACAGTCACTGGTACAAGTTAAAAATGAGTTGGGAATTGCTCGCAATGTTATGATATCGTCTAGAACTGTAAGAAGACGTTTAAATAAAGCTGGATTGAGTAGTAGAAGACCGGCGAAAAAACCTTTACTAACTAGGGAACACAGAATAGCAAGATTACTCTTCGCTAGAAATCATCAAAACTGGACGGTTGATGATTGGAAGAGAGTTTTGTTAGAGAGTTTTGTTCTCAGATGAGACTAGGCTGAACTTAAAATCTTCGGAAGGACGTGAGCATGTCTGGCGAAGGCCAGGAGAGAGATTTGCAAACTGCAACATTACTCCATCTATAGAGATTTCATACAGGCGATGCAAACCCTCACCCGCCGTCTGGGAGGGTATCCTCCACAGGCCGTCCTTCGTCGCCTGTACACCCACCTGCTGCCGGAGTACCGACAGTACATACGTCGTAGAGACTTCCAGAGCATCGGGGACTCATTGATGTATATGAGCAGCTCCAGACCGAAATGAGGAGCTGCTTACCAGTCCCGCCACCGAATCGCACTTCGACGACGACGACCCAGATCCCGGCTGCCAGGTATGCTTACGTCCCTAGGTTTGAAAACCGTCCCCTGCAACCGTCGTCCAGGCCCTTGCAACCACCCACGGCACCACCGCGAAGGCTGGAGACCATCCGTCCCCCACCGCCAACACCTGAATCACCGTTAGATGCTGGAGATGTGGCGAAACCAGACATTACCGCTCGGCGTGCAGGAAGTCACGCCGACTGTTCTGCTCCAGGTGCGGCCGAAGCGGAATAATGTCCCGAGAGTGCCCCTGCGACCGAAGAAATGAGCAAAAAGTCTGCGCCATGTCGAAGCCGTTGCAGCAGCCATCCAAGCCGACTCCGTCGATTGAAGCTCCCCTCAAGTTTCCCGACAACCGTCCCCATGTCGCCGTCACAATTTTTGGGATCGTCTACGACGCCCAGCTGGACACTGGAGCCATCAGCACGTTTATTGGCCAGGAAGTTGCCACCGTGCTGCGCCAACGAAACGTTGCCCCCGTGTCAGCCCCCCAGGTTCGGATACGCATGGCCCATGGCGACATTGTACCGTCCACAGGAACCTATGACCTGGAGATCAAAAAACGGCGACGTTCCAGTGACCGTCCGCGCTGCCGTTTTTCCAACTCTCACCACCGGTCTTAGGTATGGACTTCCTGCGCGCCAACGCCATCGCCATCGACATCCCCCAGGGGACGCTAGTGTGGAATCGCCTTGCGTCGCGGACAACCCCTGCCGTGTCTACCGCGCTGCCACTCGTGCCCTGTCCGTCGGTTACAAACCCGCACATCCGACGCGCTCCAAACGGTTCTGCGATTGACAGAATGTTCACCGATGTCTGTTTTCAGATGGACAACCCTGTCGTACGGGATCTAGTAGCTGAGCTGCTGCGGGGAGAGGATCCCACCGCCGCTGGTCGCCGTCCAAAGTCCCGGGGGATCCAGGTCGGAACCCCCATGTGGGCACCTCTCCGGTTGGTCTCCCGCGGGGTACAGACTGACGGAGAGGCCCCCCGGAGAGACCCTGTGGCCCGGTACGTGCCAGTGGATCAGAAGGTTTGCTGGCATTGTGCAAGTCCGGGCCACTGTCGGAGCCAGTGCCCGTATCCGGCCGGCTCCAAGGTTTGTTAGCGGTGCGGCCTCGTCGGCACCACTTCCACTGCATGCCAGTGCGGCCTACCAGAGCGACCCCGAAGAAGGCGCCCCCGTCGACCGTAATCTGGCGAAGTCCTGCGCCCCGCCTCTGATGATCCCCCCCTGCCGTCACCCCGCGTGAGCCCGTCCCGGAGGTCCCATGCCGTACGAGGACGAACTGGAAGCCGCCCGTGAAGAATCGCTGAAGCTTTTATATTTCTTTTTTCTTTCCTGTAGGGTACTATATTGGGGGTGGGTAATGAATAAAAAAAAAGAAGTTACACTCCTTTTTTTTACCGACGAAAGGGGAGAGTGTAACGAAGCGAATTTTCGCGGGCCGGAAACCTTGACGCGTACCGCGAGAGCCGGGGGTAAATTCGCGATCGCCGCGCCGCCGCGGATGTTTTGTATGGAGAAGTTTCTTTTGAGAATGGTGCAGTTCGACCCTTCGACCACCGTAAATACTTTTTGGGTCGTCTGCCCGTGTTAGTACCGGTTTTTTGGAATCGCCGCCCCCGAGCGAGAAATCCTATCACCGTCACCGCGTTTTTTTTGTCACCGTCAAAAGTTAAAAGCCGTCGTGCACGCGTCGTTACCGTCACCGCGCTCCCCTCCCGGGTCACCGTACCGTCTTCGCGCGATTTCCAGGTATAAAGGTCGCCGCTCCCAGAGCCAGGAGGAGGCCGTCCTGAGGGAAGTCGCCGCCCAGGAGGAACGACCGTGCCGGACGTACTATTATTTTTCTTGTTTGCTTTTGCTTTGTAATT